TTTTTTTTTGCCTGATCTCTACACACAGTAGCATCTGTGGAAGGTGTGCTAGGACTGCTGATACACCTGACTCTTGCATAAAGATTAGTTACCTTGTCATCTTGGAAAGATCTGCATGTTTTGTTTGGTTGTTACCCTACTTCACTCAGTCATGTGCTGTAACCTCTGGAGGCTTGTGTGAAAATGGTTTTGTTCTTTTCCTTGCAGCTGTGGTTACAGACATCTTCTACTTCCTGGACATTTACAGCCACGGCAAGCTGCCATCCCAGTGTGAGCTGCGCTTCCTTCCTTGTGAGATTGGGTGTGTCAGGTACTCCCTGCAGGATGGCATCACGGCTGATTTCCATCACTTCATAGAGCCAGGTGAGTTCCAAGAAAGCAGGGATGGCTTCAGTTGTCAGAACTGCAGGAAACTTCAGAGAGGGTGGAATAAATCCAGGAGGACCTTCAGATGTTTGTGCTCTACATTTCGTGTGGAGGAATGTTTCTCTTGATTGGACCTAAACACGCTGTGCAATGTACTTTGTTTTTTGATATGCGTAGAGCTGAAAATAGCTCTTCCAAAAACAGTTGTGGCACTTGTACAAGGCCACAAGGGAAGATGAAGCTGTTTCCTTCTGTGTATGAGAATTGGTGTGTAGCTGAGAGTTAAGGACCTGTCACTGTGGATGTTGGATGATGACTGTTCTTTTTCTCCTGCAGAAGCACCACCACGTGGTTTTCGGTACCACTGCCAGGCTGCTGGTGAGTGTCAGTGGAGAAAAAGAATGATATGCAAAGGTGTACAGTTATAGATTCAGCTTATCTGACCTGTAGCCAAGTGTTTTGTAAGTCTGCAGTTTCTCCTTCTGGGAACTTGTCAAATTTCAAAGAGAAGAGATGTCAGAGTGGCTTGTCACAGTCACCTTTCATATATTTCTTGTACCTACGAGTGGCAGAGCACTTCACTCAAAATGGTTTTGTCAATGGCAGAATTATTTGTACCCTGTTTTCCTATTTTAATGCAATAGTAACTGCAATATGTTGTTCTTAAATGGGACAACTTTTTCTGGCCTACCAAGCCCATCTGAGCAGAGTCTCCTTCTTTTGATAGTCCTTGTGTGTATCTTCAGCGTGAAGTGCTAATTAACGGCAGGGTATCTCAAAGATGCTGGTTTATATTTAAGTTATGTTTTGCAACTTTATCTATATCAACAAAGTTAAAATGTTTGTGCCATTGTTGTGTCTGCCTTGGCCTGCTGTGTCTGGCTTGGCCTGCTGTGTTTCCCTTACGACTTTTAGTGATGTTTATAGATTCCTAATTGTTTCTGTTAGGGCACTTCCTCCCCTTGTGTACAGAGGGAATGAGCTTGGCCTATGTTTTCCTATGTCAAATACTTGGATAATGGCCTTTTAAAAGGGGCAGGAGTGTGTGTGTGTGTTTGCTCACAGCCCAGACCTGCCAGGCTTCTGCTGACAGAAGCAAGGTTTTGGTAGCTCTGATCACAGACACTGCCAGTGGAGAAGAGGAGGAGTGTGTGCTTGTGGGTATACATATATGTATAGGAAAAGATAGAAAGGAGGAGGGAGCTGTATCATTTAAGGAAACAGGACTTTGACAACTTTTTGTGTTTGTTTTTTTTTTTTCCTGCCCCCCTTCCCTCTCCTCCATTAGGTGCTGAAACTCATAAGATCCCTATATCTGGATTTCATCTTCCACGTACTTGTTACGCAGTTGTCTTGCAGGAACTCCTTGAGTTTGCCCAGCCAGCCAGAGGGGTCCAGCCTCGCTTTTTCTGCAGGGTAAGATGCTCTAAATCTAAACTTCTGCTTTCACTTCTGTTGGATGACTAAGAAGATACTTTGCTCTAAAACCTGACCAGTGTGCAAACGAGTGGGAAAAGACACTCATGTCCAAAGTGTCCCAGTTCCACGCAGGAAGAAATGGCCTCTAGAAGCTCATCTTTTTATAAAGCAGAGACCTAATTTTCTATCTTCTTATTTTCAACCTGTGCTTCTGGCTCTAGCCTACTGATGAACAGGATTTGTTGGTCTCTGATATTGTTTTGACTTAGGTTAAGGGCTTTCTAAGATTGGCTTAAATCAAATGTGCTCAGTAATAGCCATACAACCCTGCTTTTTTCAAGGGATGTTTTTCTGGTTTTGTGACTCCTTGCCCATGAGAATACAATGTCTCTTAATTTTTGCTCAAACTTCATTTGCCAAGGAGCAAAATAAAATGTTAGGATTCAGAGGTGTTTAAGCTTTGTGTATTACATTTCAATTCCATTCAAGGCTTATCTTAGTCCTGAGGAAAGTTGGGAGGGTCAAGATTTTGGGCTCTGTCAATAAATAGATGGCTCTAAAGAGGTGCATGAAACTTGGCTCCTCTTCAAGATAGAGTGCACATTCAGTCACACAAACAATTTTGGTTTGGAGGTGACTTTTTCAGGCGTAGTCAGAAGTTCTGCAAATAGTCAGAATTCATACTGTGCTCCTTAGAGGTGACAGAAATTTCCTTCCCTCTAGTCTAACGACAGATTCCGAATTAGCTGGTGCCTGGGTCGAATGGCTACCGTAGCAGGTAGGAAATGCATCATTTTTGCCCTTCCTTTTCTCCCCCCCTGCCCCCAGAAATAAGGGTTATGTAGTCATGGACGGCTGTATTGGCCTGAAAATCGTGCCTCAGAGTTTTCATAGAAGGTGGTCACCTACTTTGAGTGCTTCTTCCTCTTCTTTTCTCCCTGTCAGTGGAGAAAGCCCACGTTGCTGGGAAGCCAGGTTTTATGAAAAGTACTAATGGAATAACTTTGAGCTTTGATGCTACAGTAACAGGCTGGGCAATAAACAGGGACTGACTGAGAAGTGAGCTCAGCAGAATGTTCACTGACTCTTGTTCTTCTGGCCTGGATTTTCACTGCACTGTAGGCATTGAGAGCCCTGTGGAGCTTTTTGCTGTAGAAGACCTGATAGTAGAACTGTACCTGAAGAAATACCTAAAGGAGCCATCCAAGACATGGGTGTCTAGAAAACTAGATGTCTGCCTGTGGGATTTCTCCAGTAACACCAGGTAAGTTGGGTGGTTCTTTGTGTAAATGTGTGTTAGCATGTCCTGGTGCTCTGCAAACAGCTTGTGTGCTGCTAGGCCTTCCAATCAGAAATGCTTCTTGTCACATCATGAGTACAACTGGAAACAAAAATTACTTTCCCAGAAGAAGTGTAAAGACAGGTGGCGTTTTAATGCTGAGTCTGAGGCCTAATTTAAAGGAGGGGGGTGAAAATGGGAATAAAATACATTGTGGCATTTAACTGGAAATCACAGAAGTGAGAAGATTCAGACTCTTAGAAGTGTGATTTGATGGGACCTGGCTGTGGCTGTACATCAAATGCTTCATGCTGCTGCTGTGATGAGGGACAAAGTATGTTTGCCACTGATATAAATCAAGTTCTCAAGCATAGGATTAAGCTAGATCCTATTTTTTTTTCTTCCAGAAGAAATGTGTTTTATTACACAGCTGGAATCCTATTTACTCCATAGGATCTTTACTTTTTTTCTTCCCCCCCTATGTCTTCAACAGTAAAGCTTTTCCTGCTTTCACATTCTTCTGTGTTGGTGCCAAAAGTGGTGTGTAGCTTGCAACATTGCAGGAGCCTGTTGGGTGATGATGCAGTTAATTTAGAAATAGACTTTAACTGTTCCTCTGCTACTGTTTTAAGAAAGAACCAGTAATTTGACCTTAAATTTTAGTGAATTTAAAAAACACATAAATCATTCTCGGAAGTCTGCTTGGAATATGGATTTCAAGACCCACTGGGTTCATGGGTGTCACTTTGTCTTTTTGTAGTCAGGTGGTTTTGCATTTCCACGGGTATCTTCACACTAGAAGAAGAGTTTAAGGAGAAAATTGTACTCTAAACCACACATTTGGAGAGGACAGTGACAATGCTTATGCTATGAGAAACTGTTTCACATTAATGGGAAACTTCAAATGGTTACCTTTAAATTCTGTTTGTCTCTCAAGGTTGTCTTTTCTCCCTGCACCCCACCTCAGCACAGAGCAGGTTGCCTGATAACCAGGCTTTTAACTCTGCATAAAATACTTAGGGCACAGCTATTGAACTCTACTCCTCTGTGAAATTTTCAAGGTACTACATGGTCTCTGTGACAAGAAGATAATATTTTTCATATTTCCTCCTGTTCCATCTGGCCAGCTGTTCATGTTGGTTCACAACGTAAATGCTTCTGAAATGAGCCTGAACTTTTGTTTCCTGTAGGTGCAAGTGGCACGAGGAGAACGATATAATCTGCTGTGCTTTGGCATCCTGTAAGAAAATTGCGTGAGTATTGCTATGGAGTCGTCTCCAGGATGATGACTTTTTATTCTGTCACTATTACAGAGTAGAGAGAAGTGTCAGTTGCATTAGAGTTCACTGTTTTTCTTCAGAGGTTTACTGTATGTGGTGAGAAATTCTCAGCATATTCTAGTGTCTCTCTACTTTGCAAACTTTTGTACTGCCTTATGTATAATGTAGAGTCGTAAGGTCCTGTTACCTTTTTGGTGTGGAGAAGGGAGAAGTAAATAGGTGGGAAACGAGGAAATGCCATTTGTGATCTCAGTCAGCAGTAGCAGCAGCACTTAGAGAGGCAATAGTGAATAGTCTTTCATTCAGAAAACTCTTCAGGTGCTGCTGTGTGTTGCCTTTCACAGTTCTAAGTGCTGCATGTGGTAGTGTGGGGAAGCAGTTGTTTTCATTGTGTGTGTAGTTGTAGAATAGGCTGGTGGTCTTGGAAGGGTGCAGAGTAACTATTTAGCTGCTGCCATAAAGTCTTCTGCCCTCTGGCATCTGCTCTGTGCATCTCAGGTTGCTTTTGTTTGCCAGTTGAAGAATTCGAAATGCTGTCCTTCCACACAGCCCTCTTAGCCAAACTTTCCTTGTTTTCTTTTTTTCTGGATCAAGTTACTGCATCAGTAGATCTTTAGCCAATGTGTATGGAGTCCCACTAACAGCAGCTCACCTACCTCTGGGAGTCTCTCATTGTGATCAAAGCACAAGTACCGGGATTGTGAAACTGGATGCTGGTTGTCAGGTCAGATTCTTTCAGCTGATACCCTGATTTATTTCTAGTTCATTTGAGTGAGCTGTTTTCTCTCTGGGTGCTGTCCTTTGTGACATATATATTGGGCAGACTGATAAACTGGTGGGTTTTTTGACCATAATTCATGGATTTTGTGGGTAGTGGTGTATACTGCATTTTAGAACACACATTTCATTTTGAATGTTTATTTCTTCATACAGAAAATGAAAGCTGAGAGTTCTGGATATGACAGACCTTTTGGTGCTCCAGGTCAGGATCATGAGTTTGTCCCTTCTAATCGTGAGTTTGAAACTTTCACATTTTTAAGGGAAAAGAGATATTTAAACTTAATCCACTTATTGCTTTTTCAGATTTCTGGGTTTAAATGTTGCTTGTCAGTGGCATAAAGCTTGCCCAGCTCTGCATGGGCTGTACTTATTCCTTCATATGGATTTCACTGAATTTTGGAAGAAGCAAACATGACGAGCTGCCCTTTTCTTACTGGACACAATCTTAGAGTCCAAGAAGTCTCTCAAAATTTAGCTTTTCTTACAAATGTTGCTCTCTGATGTATACCCCCTTACTTTTCTGCTACATGAAGTCTGTTCTCATATGCCTAGGTGCTTTGAGGCCAGGGCCATCTTGGAAATACTCTCCTTGCTCTTAAATCAGTACATGTGCAAACTCAGCCGGTCTTTGTTGCAAGTGTTCTGTCACAACTCAGTTTATAAAACTGCTCGTTTAAAGATGTCTTTCTGAAGTCAGGAGTTCTTTACTGGAAGGCACTTGAGCTCAGTTCCTCTGGGCAGTTCATGGCTCACCTTCAGAGGAACAGGATCAGGTTTGCAAGATAAATAACTGTGAGAATTCTGGGTTTGCAGCTCTTGCTCATAAAGATCTGCTGAATTAAACTCTGAAATTGTTCCGCTTACAAATCAGGAGATCTTACAGTCTTGGTGTTTGTAGAGGGCACAACCTCTCTTAACTGTTTGTATTAGAGCTATGGAATAGCTTCAACTCCACAGCATATGAAGAATAATTCCATTAGTTTATGCAAGCTGTAAAGGCTGATTTGATTTGCAAACTGTATTTAATTTAATAGGTGATTCTCCATGTGGTGTGAAGACTTCCCTTGGTGTGAAAGAAGTGTCGTACAGGGAAGAGGAGTTGCTCCATTTCTGAAAAGTTCATCTGATCTATTCAAATCTTCCAGTATTTGAAAATCTTTTTTACATTCAGGACTGATTTTCTTTGTTTCCCTGAGAAAACCAGTAGTAGAGACTGCAGTTTTTCACCTTCTGTGCAACCCTTGACAGTCCAAGTTCTTGTTAGAATGATAAAACTGTTGAGTGGATTTAAAGAAGATAAAAATCTTGTTTGTTATCTGCAGAAAGACTTGTTTTGGAGGGACCTGGCAGTTGCATCTTAAAAAATACATGCCCTGCTATTTCTGTTTCTTAATGAGTGAAGAGCAAATTCAAGATTGATTAATCAATATAATTGGGTTGGAAGAATTCTTTGGTGGCAATATGACTGTAAACAAGTGCTTTATTTCTTCTGTAATAACCTTGTCCTCTTCTGCATGTGGAAGACAAAATTTCAGTGTATAATAGTCTCTCTCCAAAAAATGATGCAGGGGGAAGCATTGAAGGTATGAAGGGGAATTTAAAGGTACAATAGTCCTGAAGGTTTCTATAATTGATCAGTTCTAGCCATGAAGAATTTGAGTGGTCTTTTCAAGGCAAGAAAGTAGACTTGATATGAAGTGTCTTGAAAGAAATACTTTGGCAAATTTATTTTATCTATTAATGTTCTTAGAGGCACAGACTATATTGTGTACATCACAAACAAGGACAAATTTAATTTTTTTTTTTAAATTTGCATCAGTTTTCATTTTAAGAAATGCGTGTCCCTCAAAGTTACAGACTGGAGAGAAGTCTAAGTGTTTTGGGTTTTTTTCAATTTTTTTTTGAAAAGAGTATCAAATTCAAACTGATACATTTGGCAAGTTTAGCCTGGCTGGGTGTATACTAATCATAATTATTTGAGGGCACATAACAAAAGTGGGAGACTGATTAACATTCTTCAGGGAAGTTAGTTGTTCCATTTTATGGAGGTACACTTCTGGGACCAGTTCCCAGAAAGTTGTCTGAGCCTTGTCCACGTGTCTTTAAGCAACGGATTCTCAGAAATATGATCTTATTTTTTTTTTTTTAGTTGTTTCTACGTTTTGTTCCAACAGAGGTCCAGCTTTGAAACACTATTTCCATGGCAACTAACTGTGTGAAGGTACTTATTTCATTCCTCTGCGAAGGTACTTATTTCATTCCTTCTAGGTACTGAAACTCAAGATTAGGTGGTTCATTCTGTTGAAAAGGAAAAAACCTCAACAAAACCAATGCAAACAAAACACAAAACCCAACTAAAATGAGAGGTTTATTTGTGGATAAACTCAGCCATGCTGATCAGTGTGTCAAAAAAGGCCAGTTGCTGTTTAAGTTGGAAACCTGTTACAACTGCTGGAAGGCCAGTTGAGGCATTTCTTCCAGTATTGTAGGATCACTGAGGCATTTCCATTCTTCTTACGTAACTGTTTGCCCCATCACTGAATTTCCATGTATTATTCTGTATTTGCTTCCTTTGAGGCTGCTGTCCTACCTGCTAATTGTCACCAAATGAGAGACAATAAACCTCTAAGACTGAAATCCACCCCTGGAGCACCTGGGAATGTTGTACCAGGATGAGTGTGTCTATCCAGTAGTGCTGAAGGCTTCCCTGTGTTTGTATAGAGTTGTTGAAGTTCTGAGTTTCGTAGTTGACAGTTCAAAACATACAGAACTGTAATCTTTGAATTATTTTCGGAGTTCAACCTTGCAATGAAAGCTTCCTGTTTCAATTCTTACATAGAAGAGAAGCCTTCAAAAAGTATTGTTGAAATACTCATTCAGAGTTAGGTGCACAAACCTGGGAACATTTGTTGTTATACTTGATGTGTTCTGTGTCAAGACTGAGATAAAGAATCTGAGCAGGAGTGGAGAAATACTGTTAGGATTCCATGTCATATATCTGTACCTTATCACCTGTAACTTAAAATAGCACATAAGCTGTAGAAGATCTAATTATATGCAGCAGCAGTGGGCTGTTAACTGGAGCAGTAACTCTTACTGTAATAACCAACAACCTACAGTGGGTTTTTTTGTAGTGAAAACCACAAGATCTGTATAATTAGAGTAAGTAAATTCACTTGATGTAACCCATTTAATACTATTATTCTGCATATATTGAGGGAGATCCCTAACAGCCACTGAAGGATGATAGAAAATTCTTTCATTTTGGAGCTCTGCTTCCCTGGCTGCTTTGCAATTTGAAACTCTATTTGGTTTCTCAAAAAAAATAGATTCCGAAAAATAATTTCTGAAAATAAATTCTTGAAAAATAAACACAGTCAGCTAATGCTTCTCTCCATAAATAAAGGAAAGTAAAGATGAGGGAAAGATGGTGACTTACAACTTTAGCACACCTCTTAAGTGCAAGGAATAGGACTGGTAAGGCACGAACTGTGGGTCACAACCAGGACAAAATTCTCCCCACTTGTATGACAGGATTCTCAAGGGGAAATAAAACCAAGTAAAGGCAGAATGGCCCTTGAGCAGAGTTCGAGTGATGCAGCCTGGGAGCTTTAAACATGTACTTTCAAGGTGGTAAAAAGTAACAGTGATGGCACTCTCCATGTGGGGGGTGTAGGTACAACATGTCTTGAACTGGCTGAAGAGCTGGTTTTGTAAACAAGGCACCTGATAAGTTCTATCAGACCTGACTTTCTGTCCTGTTAGTGTAGGTGCTCGTTCCCGTGACAGGAATGGGTAAAAACCATCCTGGTTTTACGTACACGTTGGAAAGTTACTCGGTATTTGTGTTCTTATAATAATAGTAGACAAATGGTTGAACTGTGCATTGCTGCTCTTTAAAGGCTTTGGCTGAAACAGTTGTTTGAGGGTTGTGAAAGCAATGGGCTGTGATGCCAACTTTGCTGATCTAGTGTGTGGCATCAGTGTATTGACCTGTTAATCACATTCTTTTACATTCTCTTCAGAGTAAGTAACTGATACTGAAAAATAAAGCGTGTTAATACAGAGTAAGCAGCAGTTACTGGTTCTGTGTGTATAAGCTGTGAATTAACTGTCACTTGTGCATTGCTGGCTTGTCCACCCTTTCCTTTCAATAAACTGCAGAAACTAGATCTGTGGAAGAAGTTTCTGTTGACCACTGTCTCTGCTCCAGCATTCTCTTACATACATATATTCTGTGGGTACAGAAATACCTGGGTTTGACATCTTTAATTTGAATTTTGTTGTGGAAAGCTGATCTTCCCAGTAAAGATCAAGGCAGAAGCAGCTTTATCCTTGTCCTTCATGACCTCCTCCCTATTCCCATTCAGATGCATCCACAGAAATCCCTTTTTTTTTTGCCCTTCACATGCTTCACCAGATTGAGCTTTTGGTAGGCTTTGGCTTTCCTATCCCCCCACCTGCACACCCACACAGCATCTGTGTTTCTCCCCAGTTGTTTGTCCCTGCTGCCATCTCCTGTGTGTTTCCTTTTCACGGGTGAGTTTTGTCCTGAGCCCTTTGGTCAACCTCTGCTTGTTTGACTGTTTATCTTGTGGGAGGTGGTACTTGAAAAATCAATAGGCTCACCTGGACCCCTTTTCTCTGCAGAACCCTATGCCACAGGATTCTCTCAAGCAGGTCTCTGAACGAGGCCTCTGAAGACTGCTCTGCTGAGGGTTGTGATGCTGCTTTTTGCTGTTTTCCTCCCTCTTGGGATCCCAAATGGTCTGTCAAATATTGGGCATTGGGCTTTGCTGTTTGGGTGCGTGTCAGACTGGAGGAAGCCGTGCTGTGAGCCCTGATGAAGTGGCACAGTTGATGCTCATCCCACGGGGAGTGTTCTGTGACAGGTCCCCAGGAGTGAGGTCCGGGCTGAGTCATACCCAGCTGCAAAACTTGCTTCCATTTCAGACACTGAGCAGTCACAGTCAGGTGGTGGTGTGTGCTGAAGGTCATATTCTTCTGAGTAAGTGTTTGTGTTGGGTGAACGAAAACCTGTATTCCAGGAAGGCCTATCTCAATTTCCTTGCAAAATAGTTGTAGTTTTCTGTTCCTGATATCTTTAGGAAAATCTGCATAATTATCACAGAGAGCCTGCAGTTTTGGACCTGTTAGGATTAGCACTTTTAAGTTCAACTTTCTGCTAGCAAGAATTCCAGACTTTGCCCAGAAGTGAAGTGACTCAAGTATATCTGTGAAACTGGGTTTAGTTTCTGGTTGATAGATAGAGGTAGATACTCATCGTGCAGCTGACTGCAAAGGCTTTAACAACATCTTTCCATTTGGCAGAGTAAATGTACTGCAGTGGAGCAGGAGAAAAACAAGTTTGTTATCTAGTCTCTGTCCTCTTGATGACTTCTGCTGGATTATCATCCCTCACTGTCACCCTGGAATGGCCAGCCAATAATTTTTGTTCCAGTGATTTAGTAAAATGAAGAGATTGGCAAACACTTCTATTAGTCTAACCTTGTGTTATCTCTGCTCCCTTACTTTTCCTTGGTTCTGTGTTAGAAGCTCCCACAAACTTCTTTAATTGCCATTTATCAAATAATTCCTCTCAATCCCTAGTGAACAGGTGAAATGCAGGAGAGAGAAGTTACAAATTCCCTTGTGTTCCCTTATATTGGGCTGTAATAAATTTAGTACCAGTTCCAACACATCCAGTATTAATCTTGATGGTTTGATCATTGTACTGTGAACTTCATCAGCTAGAAGACTGTCTCTCCTGGAACAGATGATACAAAATAAATAGAAAAGGAGTGCTGTTACTCTAGCAACAAGAATGGTGAGATAATTAACTCTTGTCTGAATTGTGCACTGTACTGAATCTTGGAATGGGCTGTGGGATCAACAGCTCCTCTGTAATGCTGGAAATACTTCTCAGGATGCTGAGAAGAGTGAGGAAGGCAGTGAGAGCAGACCTCTGGGGTTATGTGGGAAATGGGGAGGGGGTAGAATCCCTGAGGGAAGCTCTGTATAATAGAAGAATTCATTAAGGTTGGCATTTCGTTAAGAACAGTGTTTTCCAAACACAAGAGCAGTCCAGGAATGCAGGTAGATTGATCTGGGGAACTGTCTTGTCTTCACAGAGCTCTCATGGCCAGTCCTAGTGCAGTTTGAGGGAGTTAGAAACAGGAGTGGGCTACAAAGGAAGAATCCACAAACACTGACCACGTCTGTAGGGGTGGTGTTTGGAAAGCCCACGCTTACCTGGAATTGATGCTTGCAAGGGATCAAGGTCAACAAGAAAAGCTTTTGTGACTGTGTTAGCAGGAAAGGACTGGACAGGGAAAAGTGGTCCTGGTGCTGAATGATGTGTGATTTAGTAACGTGACTGGAGCAACAAAGAGAAGGCCGAGGTGCTCAGTACCTTCTCTGTCTCAGTCTTTTCTAATAAGGTCTGCTAACTCTATACTCAGAGTTCCAGGAGAACAGCAGCTGTGGATGAAGAGTGAGTCAGGGATCAGTTGGGAGTTCTAGACCCATCCAAGTCCTGGAGCCAGAGGGACTGCATCCAAGGATGCTGAGAAAGCTGCCTGATACCTTTTCAAGGCTGTTCTCTCACCTTTGAAAGGTCACAGAAAGCACAGAAGGTCCTCAGCAGTGGGAGGCAAATACTGCACCCATCTGTCAAAAGGGTAATCTAGGAAAGCATAGGCTGCTCAGCTCCACTGGACTCCTTAGAAAAACCATGGAGTGAGTCCTCTTGGAACCCCTTTTTGGGTACACAAAGGAGAAGAGGGGGTCTGGAAAGAGTCAGTGTGGATTTGCCAAGGTTAAATCATGCTTGACCAGCCTGGTTGCTTTCCATGATAGGTTTGTGAATAATGAAAGTTGAACATTACTAAACAGTAATTTGCTGTAGGCTGTGTAAAAGGATAAAGTAGGAATTTACTTTTCTGCCTGGTCATACGTTTTCTCCTTAATTCCTGCCTTTTGAGGGAA